TCACCTCCGGGGCAGGCGGGAATCGAACTCATGCGGAAGTGGCTTATATATTAGGGAAATAAAATCTGAAATCAATTTTGATTCAAAAATTATTAATTTCATAAATTTCTGTCTCCATAAATTACTAGCTGTATGGCTTTGTGTTATTAAATATCTCTGAGTCTCAGTTTATTATAGAGTTTGTATAAGGATTGAATAAAATAATGCATGTAAACCTTGGCTTTGTGTCTGGTCCACGGTAAAGACTGGCTATGTGTTACTTTAGTATGGTGACTAAAAGGTGTTTCTCTGATATTTATAGTATACATGGTAAATATTATAGTGAAGATTAAAATGGCCATATTAAGCTGGAATTTAAACAGGAGCCTTAGTTTTTATAGAAAAGCTACAAAATACTTAGGTTCTGGTAGTTGTTTTTTCTCTCAAGTTTTATTGATTTGCTATTCATTTACATAACTATATAACTGCCATCTTGCAAGTACAGCTTTGTACCTCCATCAGTTTGCATACATCGCCTTCTGTCACAACCCTATCACTTCCATTCCCGGCTCCTTTTCCCCTCCCCCCACCCGCTCTGGTAAGCACTACTTTTCTTACAGTCTAAAAGTTACTCATATTGGTTTCCCAGTTTGCTGGTTTGATTTGGGTTATTTTCTGCAAATGACTACAACCATCTAGCAGCTATATTTTAATTTTTTCACTTAGTATAATCACCTCAAGATCCATCCACTTTGACCCAAAAGGCACAATTTCATTTTTTTCAGGAGTTGAGTAGGATTCTATTAGGTTATATATTTATTAATTCTTGTATCCAGTTGTCTGTCAGTGGGCATTTAGGTTGGTAACATGACTTGGTTATTGTGAATAATGCTGTGAACACAGGATTGCATAAATCATTTTGCATCAGTGTTTTCACATTCTCTGGGTAAAATACTGACACTGGATCAGTAGTGTTTCCATTTTTCACTTTTTGAGGAATCTCCATGTTGTAGCTCCTGTACCAAATTACAGTCCTACCAAGTAAGAATGCATGTTCTTTTTTCTCCATATCCATGACAATATTTGTTGTTTCTAGTCTCTTCTAGTACAGGCCATTCTCATAGGGATCAAGTTTTACTTTGTTTTCCCTTATAATAAGTAATGATGTGCATTTTTCATGTGCTGTAGACCATCTGTATGTCTTCTTTGGAAAAGTATTTATTTAGATCCATAACATCCTTTTTTTGGTGACTGATTTGTATAAGTTCTTTATATATCTTTTATTAACCCCTTGCCAGACAGGTGATTTGCAAATATCTTACAGTTCTTATGCTGCTTCTTTTTTTTTTTTTTTGGTGGTGGTGGTGGTTTCTTCTGAGGTACAAAACTTTTTAGTTTGTCATGGTCCCATTTGTTTATTTTTGCTCTGTCTCCCTTGCATTGTAGTTGTGTCCCAAATATATCTCCACAGTTGATCTCCAGGAAAGTATCACCAAGGTTTTCCTTTCAGTGTTTTAAATGTTGTACCCAAGTATTTAACTTTAAACTAATTTTTTAATATGGGGTTAAGTAAGGATCTAGTTCCATATTTTTGCCTATGGTTGTCTAGGTTCCCAATATATTTTTTTTTAAGAGGCTCTTCTTTCTCCATGGTATAGTCATGACTCCTTGGTCAAAAAGTAACTGCCCATATCTGTGTGACTCTGTTTCTAGACTATTCTATCCCACTGGCTTGTTTTTGGTTTGTTCTAATACCATACTCTTCTCCCTCCCTTTTATGTTCTGTTGTTGTCTTATACTTCTTATTTTATGTTCCTGTTTATCAACTTAAGGTTTTGTGTTTTCCTGGTCTATTTTTGTTTTTGTTTCCATATAGAAGAACTCTTCTCAACATTTCTTGTATGGAAATTCTAGTGGTAGCAAACTCCATTAGCTTTTGTTTGTCTGGGAAACCCTTTATTTTCCCACCATATTGGGGAAAAAAAATAAAAAAAATTTCCTTGGGTGAGATTTTTTTCTTTTAAAAGTATAACGATGCCATTCTATTTTTTTTCTAGACTTGAATGTATCTGCTGAGAAATCTGATAAAAAGATGACTGAGGTGCCTCTTTATATTACATTCTTTCCTTCCCCCAGCAGCATTTAATTTTTTTTTCTTTATCATTAATTTTTGATAATTTAACAGTGATATGTCTGGGTAAAAGCCATATTGTATTTTGAAATTTGGGGTTCTTTTGGTTCCTGGGAATTTATTTTTAATTACTTTCTTAGGTTTGGTATGTTCTCAGTCATTATTTCTTTGAATAAGGTCTCTGGGTCCATCACTTTTCACCTTCTGGAATGCCCAATATATATGTATGTATGCCCAATATCTTCTAATGAAGTCTGCTATTTCTTGTGGAGATTCTTAACTTTTCCTAAATATTATTTCTTGTTTCTTCATTTAAGTCATTTATATCTTCAATTTCTGACATTTTCTCCCTGCATAACTCTATTGAAACAGTTTTCTGTATTTTTCCTCATTATGTTCAATGTCTTTCTCTCTTGTTTTAAAATATGTCAGTTTCTTTCCTAGTGAGTTCTTTTGTTCCTGCATCTCTTCTCTAAGACCCTTGCTTGTCTTTCTTTGCTCATGCTAGGATCATGTTGATTTTTTTTCCCAAAAAAATATTTCATGATACTCAGTGTTGCCTTGAATTAGAGAAGCATCACAACAGCTATATTTCAAAATAGGATGTTCAAATTCAGGAAATTATACAACAAAGCTCAACTTAAAAAGTGTTTTGCTTTCTTACTGTGATGGAATATTTGCACTTATTTTTTGAATCATCATTATTCACCTGATAGTTTGTCTTGGCCGTTTTTCAGTTTTATGTGAATTCTGAGCTGGACGTCACTTGAGAGTTCTTTTACCCAGCCCTGCAATAGAGGTGTAAAGCCAGGGCAACAAAAGTTTGGTTACTTTCTCAAGGAGAGGGTGCTGGGAAGTGTGTATGCTTAGTGCAGTCACCTGCTCTCTGGCTCTAGCGTCTTTCTCCCTGTAACATAATGTATCCTTCATGTACCCCTTTAGTACTTTATATGCTCTGTTTGGAGATTAGAAATAACCACTACTGCAGATTAGGCAATTAGGTTATCATGTCTAATGATTTCATAGAAAAAAATAACACTTCTTTTGTAGGCCTTTATGAAACTGGATTTCAACAAAACTGGCAGCGTGCCTATTATAGAAATTAGAAAATGTTATTGTGCAAAGAAGCATCCTCAAGTAATTTCAGGTAATTAGTATGAGTCAAAATGCATTATATTTCTATAATGTTAATTAATAAATAAAGATATTTAAATTATGTTAATTGATAACATGGACTTTAGATCATAAGGGAGGAAATAAAAATTATTTTTTAAATGAGAAAAATAAGAACTGCTTGCCTGTGTCTTCACTTAAAACTCTGTGTTATCTATACTTATTATTTTTTAAAGATTTATTTATGCTTACAGAACTGGGTACAGGCCAGAAGTGCAGGGGTGGTGAGAGGATTCACCAGAGACAGAGGGGGGAGCAGAACAGGCAGACTGACGAAGTATACAGCTGAGAAGAGCGCGGGCGAGACAGGAGAGGTCTGCAGCCATGTGGATCACCTCTGGGGCTAGGGATCGAACTCACACTGAAGCAGCTTCGGCTAGCTTGCAGTGCTGCATCCTAACCTATTGCGCCACTAGGGAGGGCCTATATTTATTTATTTATTTTAGTGAATTTTTATTTTCTGTGAGATGTGACGTGTCTGAGTTAGAAAGAGTAGAATAGATTTAGAGAATAAATAACAACATATGCAAATTCCCCAGCTTAGCTTTAATGTATCTGCTCATATTTGAAGATTTAAGGCAGAGTGAGGGAGTGCCTTAAGTGGATTTATACATAAAATGAATGCATGCCTGTACAAATTTGATGATATAATAAATGTTGCAAGATAATTCTACAGATCTTTTACTATATTAATTTAGACTTTAATTTCTACACAATTGGTTTATCAATGGATTTGTGTATAAAGATAGCATTTGTTCACAGTAACTCTCTTCCTTCTATTACATTTCCCTTTCTATAGGTAATGATTGTTGTAATTTAGTATATATATTTACATATTTAATTCCTCTATGTATTTTTATAGCTTTATAATACTTACTATGCATAGTTAATATTTTTTGAAAGTATTTTTAAACACCATAAATATTGTTATACTCAGCAATGTGCAGGGGCTCTTTCCATGTTAATCCATACTGAGACATCTTATTTAAAAAAAAAAAAATCAGTATACCAAAGTTTACCTAGCTATTCTTCTATTTTTGATTTTTAAATTTCTAATTATTGATATGCAACCAGAGAAGCAATGGATACTGTTGTGACTTCTTAAAGGTCTATTGCCTACTGTTTTTTTAGGGTGACAGTAAGTGCAACAACTACCAGGAATGCTATGGTTTAAATTTTAATTGATACTTCTAAATTACATAATAGGATCTGTGATATTATACTGTCATTATTGGGAGAATTCATTTTCCTTATCTCCTTGTAAACACCTTAGTTTTTGCCAATCTGATATATGAAAAAAATAATTTCCATTTCCCTGGTTACTGCAGAGGTTAAACATACTTTGCATATTTATTGACCACATCTAAATTGTATTATATGAATAGTTTCTAATTTGTTTTGACTATATACTATTAAATACAATGGAATACTATTACTTTATAATTTTATTCTTAAATATTAAAAGTGATACACTGTTGTTGGCTTAGCACTATTAACACTTACAATGGTTTATTATTCTTATTAATTATATAGTTAAAAAAAAAAAACCAAACAAACCCAGAAGTTGTAATAGAAATAAGGCTAATCTACACTGGTTTTCCAGATTTCAAATTATGTATTTTAGGCCCAAGTAATATAAGTTGCTTATCAGTGACTTAAAGAACTGTAATTACTTTAAGAGAGTTCTGTAATTATTTAATTGTCTTTAGTATATCTTTTTCCTTTAAGTCCATGCCACTCTTTCCCCCCCCCCTTTAATTAGCCATATATAAACATGAGAGTTCACTTATTTCAAAGTTAGGTGATAGCCATGCCATATGTTTTTTTCTCTGTCTTTCCCTTCCTTTTAATATTAGTAAAGTTGCTTAAGTAGCTTTAGTTTTACTGTGTTGTCCATTTTATTATTGTTGGGTAAACCTTTGTAACTTCAAGAAATTATGTATTTCCAAAAAAAATGATATCTAAATGAAGATCACTCACTCCTTCCCTTTAAGTAAAGCCACTTATTTCAATAGCTTATTGTTCTTTTCCTGAATTAAAAATATCATATGAATTTTATAAGTAAAATGGATCAGATATTTTGTTTTCTCTTTAAATTGCACTTGCAATGTTTTATAAATTGTCAGTTGTCTTCTTATATATAATAAGTATATTTAATATGAACCCATGGAAGTAGCCTGCTTAATATCAGAGACTTAAATTTAATGGAATGAAAGTTCTTCTAGAAGATATTTTCATAGACCTCAAAGATTACTGTGTTTGCAGTAATATTTTCCTTATGTAGTATGGGTCGCTTATGCCTATAAAAACTAATGCTTGAATATAGGCATGCCTTTCACACATGGCATTACTGTACTGGTAGCCTATAAATCTTTGAAAGTATTTCTTGTCTTTGTTTAGTCTAATGGAAATTAATCTGAGTCCTGTAAAACAGAAATACCTGTAGCAGTGACTATTAGTGACTTATTTTGCCTCTTTGTCTGATAGACCCTATCAGGAACTTAAAAGATTCCTCAAATGTGCATTAAAATGATTTCTGTCAAATTCTATGTGTTGCAAGAAAATGTTTAAATAATTTTGATGGTAGTTTGACATAGCATTTCATATTGTTGAAAAGATTTCACAAAGTGATTAAGTATCATCATCAATCATTTTACTAATCTTTTAAAGTGACTCTTTCATAGTCAGTACTATTTTACAGGCCATTCTACAGAAGAAGAAATAAAATCATCTTTTCTAGAAACATTAAAAGATGCTTGCAGCAAGTCTGATGAAGTGTCATATGGTGAATTTGAAGATTACTATGAAGGCCTAAGTTTAGGGATAGTGGATGATGAAGATTTTGTTAATATTTTACGTGCTCCTTGGGGGATTTAGTTTTTTAAAAACGTTATAAAAAATTTAAAGGAGAGTTTAATTGAATGTGAAGTATGATCTAACATTGCAATATATTTTCCTAGGGCTCCAGATGTAGAGGTATAAGTGTGTTCTCACACACGTATGACTGTTTGCTTATCTATATATTTATAAAGATCTTTTTGATTTGTTACTTATCTTGAGCATATTTTATTTGTATATATTTTAGAACACTCCCTAAATTAATCTTCATAGAAAAGTTACCTCTATATCAAATTCTGCAAGACCATTTATACAATAAACATGGTTCTTTTCCTTTGGTTTGTTTTTGCCATCAATCCCTCAAATGTAATTGCTATTGCCACCATTCTCAATTTGATATATGGAAACTGGGCCCAAAACCTATGAGATTGAAATAAATCAGCCTGTTTTAAATATGAAAATGTTAATGAAATTGAGGTATATGCAAGAGAATTTTCCATACAGTGTGTGATGATAGATATTTCCCATAACTTGAAAATTTAGAATGGCAGTAGCCAATCCCTAAAATGCTTAAGCACCAACTTATAAATTCCTGCTTTCTGTATTATGTGCTGTTGTTTATGCAATAGAGCTGTGTCCTAAAGGTAATGTGTGTTATTCTAGACATGTCTTTTTGGTATATTAAATGACTGAACCATTTTCTTCTAAATAGATATTATTTAATGGTTAGATGTGCATTTAAGATTTAAATTAAGATTCAGTCATTTAAGATTTGAATGAATAAGAAAATGCACTATTAAAATATCAAACAGAAAATACGAACAAATATTTTAGTGATGTTTTCACTAGCTTAATTCTTTATTTCTTGGATCTTTTTCTGAATTAGTTATTGAAATTAAAAGCTGGAAGATGTTTTGGCAGAAATAAATTGACTATTAATTTCTGAGTCACACCCTTTTTTTTGAAAAATTTCATACAACTACAGTCCTCTGTAATTCTAAAATTTGTTCTTATGTTAAAATGACTAATACTATGTGTCCTGAATATGCATGTAGTATTTTTCATTGACAAATTTTTATTTAGGTCTCAATCTATTTTTAATATTGTTAACTAGATTTTTATTTTCTCATAGATCTATCTTAATTTACCTACTACTATTATCAGAAAATATACTTAGGTATTATTGTAAAAGAATGGGAGGAAGGTTGTTCTGGAATGTGACATTAATATGATGGCATAATTTTAAACCTCTAACCTCCTAAATATTCATTTTTTAAGAAAGTATCTCTTTATGAATTGTAACTTTTAAAGTTAATTTTCTGTTATTTTGCATTATAATATCAATGTAGAGTTAGAAAATATATATTCAGTATGAGGGTATTTTGTTAAAATATAACTGGTGGCACAACAAATCATC